GTTCTGTTTGATTGTGTTTCCATTTTATTCCGCTGCGTATTTTGGTCTTCTAGTATTTGTTCCTATACAAAGGTTATTCCTCTTTTTATCCCCATCAAGAACACCTGCACTCTATCTAAATCATCATCTGTGATGCAGAAGATGGTTCATGTGCAAGAACCAAAGATTTTTCTCTTCAATGATGAATCTATAAACTCGGGAGACTGCGACACCCCTAATTTGTTTGATCTCGAAAGATTGAAGGGAACACATATGAGTGTACATTATTATTGATTTTGACTTGAGCTTTTCCGATTACAGCTAGTGATTTAGACTCTTATCCCATCAAGAGTTGTGACTAACGATGAACTGCAAAATGGCAATGTTCACAAGCACCGTTGCTAAATTAGGAGGATAACATCACAACAACATGCTACACTATGGCAAGATCTCCATGGCATACTGATTACTATTGCGCCCAGAATGGCCATACATTTGCTTGAGATGCAAATTTGAGGTAAAGGTTGGATACTGATATAATAGCCCAACCCAAACCATGTAGGAAATAGAAAGAAAAAGTATACAAATAAATGGGGATGATTCAAAGATGTATTTTAATTGATCGTATCTGACTCCACTGGAGAACGAAAAGAATTCTGGTCAAGTATTACCTGACCCATGTTGACCCCTTTCAGCACCATAAGCTTTTAGCATGAGCAAGACATCCACAAATCAGCATCACAAAAAGATAGCACAAATTCCGGAGATCACAGTGGTTCTCAGCTCAGCTTTGACTGAGCTTTTGCAGGGTCCGCAGACATTATTTTGTTGAGCTTTTGCATGTCCATGGTACTGCCACTGGTCCCAAAATGACTGCTCTAAAGGTAACCATCTCCCAAAGCATTCTGCAGGGCCAAAGCAAAAGAAATGCATCAAGCACAAGTCAGGATCTAAAAGCACAGGTGATACACAAGGGTCAGTGAGAGAGAACAACAACTACAATTGAAGATTCACTTACCGTGCAGGTATGGATGGAGAGCCAAATCAATTCTGCAAGAGAAACTATCCCAGCAGAGCTACATGAGCTGCAAAAGCACAGTGAACAAATCACACACAATTGAAAAGCCACATTAAGGATTCGTATATCCGACGACAAAAACTGGCACTACAATTAGGTTGTCAGTTTACATCTCAACCACAAACCAACCTTACATGATAAAACATCTCAAGGCACGTGTGCTGTCAAACCAGCGATTTCATAACCATAGCCCAAGCTAAAATCAATTGGAAAGCATCCTTTAGTTAGCTTTGGTGAGAAAGATCTAACAAAGTTTGAGCTAATTACATTTTCTTGTGCAACTCACACCACCTCTCTTTGATATCATCTGCTAGGTCAGTCATGCTGTCTCTTTCTGCTTTCCCCTTTTGGGCTTGGAGGTCTTCGTCCTTTGATTCTTCGAATGGATGCTAACCCATGCGTAGTCGCTCGGGATGTCAAACGGGTCAACATGGTCGACCACTTGAGACGAACTCACTGATTTTGTTCGGCTAGCAGAAGTTTTGGCCGCGGAGGTGTTCCACCATAGCCAAGAGCTCTTGTGAGTCTCAGCCTTATGAGTTTCTTCATCTTCTTCTGGGACAGGTAAGAGCCTTGGGCTTGAGAGTGGTGTGAAGAACTGTTCAGGTTGCTGAAGATATACAAACTTGGTAAAAGTGACAACAACCCTCACAGTTGGGACAATTGGGATTGCAACCTGCAGTAATATACATGGAAAATGAGAAACATACGCAGTATGGGATGTGAAAAACATGGAACTCTAATACCGTCACTTTATTAATGTAAGGAAGAAAGAGAGCAAGCAGAGATAACTCATAAATATGCTGCTCGAAGCCTCGGATGCGAGCACTAAGAACTTAAATAAAACATACACAATTGGGATCAAACTTGAAAACTCATGGTAATATTCAAGTTTCAGATGGAAAAACAATCTACCTGCGTAATTGGATATCTATTCAAGCATGTGATGGATTTTATACTCATCTAAGAACCTATTCAATTGACAAGTAACAATAAAACTAAGAGCTAAAGACAATATTTCAATAATAATAGAAGATGAAGGATTTATGCGAATTGAATATGCAGCTAAAGAGGCACACTCGGGCCAAATACAACAAATCTGCATAGCAATGATCATGTGACCCATGATGCTGCTTCAGTATATGCGAGTGCATACGACGCCCTTATAAAGCTACAGAACAAAGGATGTCGCACTTACTTCCACTGCAGTGCAATGATAAAAGAACCATTATGAGTTACATGCAAGACTACTTCACTCTTGATGTTGCTGGAGTTCAACCCACCAACTGGCAGGCCACATGTGACTTGAAACTTCAGCAGCTAAAATAGTTGTGACTGAAACCTATATGTCTGGAGCATTACCAGGTTTTGAGTGGCCTCACAAACTAGCCACTTCCAAATGAATACATGTTAAACATGTGATGTAATTTGTATTTAAGATTACTTTGTTAAAAATATAAATTCATTAGACAAGGTTGTGTTTGTTTCCCCCAAATAGGTATGCATTTATATTAGCTCATGCGGGAATTCTGATGCAGGATGTTCCTTGTATCACTCAAATAGCATGCAATAATTGATGTGAAATGGTGCAAACATCCTTGCATCCTGTCATGCGATCAAAAAGTCTGCATGACAAAATGCAAGAAATCACTTACATCCATAACTTCTTGAATGCTGATCATAATGATTAAATACCGCATTATTCTGAATTTACAGAATCAACGAATCAACAAAGTGAATTTGTATCTTGCTGCACGCATGAGATTGTGCTATTAATGCAAGGATTCGACTCTGCAGCCTTATCTTTAGATGCAGAGAACCAAAACCACCCTAGATGATAAAACAAAGTGATTGGACGGCAATTGACTAAGTTACTCATTGCTTAAGATCACAAGTTATAGGTGCTCTCTATTCTGCAGATCATATATGAAATGCATTGATGGTTGCTTGCATGTTGGTGTATTAGAAGTCCAACATTAAATGACAGCCTTTAGGAAATGAACAAAACAACAAATGAAGAAATTATAAAGTTTTTCAGGCAATCATGATACTCTACAACTGAAACTGTAAGTGTAAAAGAAAATTGTATAGACAAATTGTTCGAGACAATACAATTATATTGATTGAAAAAAAGGACAGATGTGGACCTTAAAGGATAGTCATTTGATTAATCTTTTTATTTCCTGGACTCTTTAATATAACAAAAAAGAGCTAAGAACTAAAAAGAAGCAAAAAGGAACCAACAGTTAATGTCAGCAAGCCTTTTTCCATCAAAATGAGATAAGCCGCAGAGCTGGTCACCAAGTCCACAATTATAAATGAACATCTATAATGGGAGGTCAACATATATAAACCATCACATTATTTCTAAATTTAGCAATCCTGCAACTCAGGCAACTTTGGAATAAGAGCCCAACTGGCATCAAACTCAGAACACAATTGGTTGCAGTAGCCAAAATGTCAAGTCCATCAAATTTATACTCTAGCAACCAGGAGCAGGCTATTTTGCTCATCTAGTGTGTCGCTTGAAACTTGATGCAGATTCATTGTATTAAAACAGGTAGCAAAATGATACTGTTTTTTCCTGCCTTATGTAACAATATCATTTATCCCACCTGAACATATTTGTTGAGAACATTATATGGAGGAAGAACTAATCAAGAAACATCATTATATTTATCCAACTTTGTCCATTTACACAATTGTTGTTCTATTACGATGAGCTGAACTTTGCCATAGAACTAAGATCCTGAAGAATCATTATTTCATGACTTTCAACCAAAATCATAGCGACTTCTAGTCTCTGTAAATTAAGAAAATAGCACTTGCTGTCAATACTAGATCACTTTAACTAATGAAATTGAGATCCAATCAACCATGTAATCAATCAAACTAGTAATTTCTCATATGCACTTCCAGGTTTCTTTTAATCCTAGAATATATGCTTTCATGAAAATACAACTTAATTCTCGGAAGGGCCACCAACCATTTGCTTCCTGATTTTAAATGTATTGTCGCTTTGGTGCCAAATTGTTCTCTGCATATCACAATACTTCCAAAGCTAGTGTGGAGACCATCATGGTCTACGATGTCGCAATCAAACATTAGGCACCCTCCAATGCATTATATAAAAGAGAGCATGGGTCACATTTCAAGTTTCAGTTACAGAACAGACAACAAATAGTCTTTTTCCTGTGTGCCAGTCAAAAGGAAGTGCAAATCATTTTTGTGTGTATTCGCAGTTTTTCGAATTCGGCAACAAAATCATAAAACTCAATGGTAAGCAACAGAATGAGCTTCTAATTCTGCACAAAAATTGAATTGTTCGAAACAACGAGAGAAAGTGTTTTACCCTTTTACAACAAGAAATATTACCTTAACCGGAAAAGTTCCTGGCGGGAACTTGGTGGTGAGCAACTCCCGGAAGCGCCGCACCGCCTTGACCTTGTTGGCCAGTATATCCAGCAGCGGCATCAGCTCATCGAGCTTCAACGGGAAGTCCTCCGTGAGCCACACGACAGGTCGCAGGCTCTTCACCATCTCCTTCTCCTTCCTTCTACCGGCTCTTACCCTCCCCAACCTCACCCAGTCCTTGTGCTCCTCCCGTGGTCGTACATCTACACTCCTCCTCCTCGCCATACCCCCCAGTTCTTCCACCTCCCTCATCCTTCCCCTCGGTTCATAGCAGCTGTGCCGCGGAGGCATCTCCGGGATGTCCGCCACGAGGAACCCCTCGTCGTCGTCCTCATGGAGGTCGAGTGGGACAACGAGCTTCTCGCCATCGTCATCGTCCTCATCCTCCTCTTCAGCAGCGGCCCTCATCGTCTTAAAGCTGAAGACCACGTTGTGGACCTCGTAGACCCTGGCCTTCCATTCCCCGACCATCTCGGTCTTCTCTCGCCGCCGCCAGTTGGTCCGACCGACCAGCTGTGCTGCGGTGATGTCGAGGCCCGGGCGATAGGCGCTGGCGTCGGAAACAATGTCGGCCTCGTCAGCTGCCGGCGCCGCCGCGTCGGCGCCCTCGAACGCGTCACGCACCTCCCTCCTGCCGCGGTGAAGGACGAGGAGGGAGCCCGGGGGAGCGGCAGCGCCGGCGCCGGAGCCGAGGAAGAGAAACGACTGGTCGGACCGGCGGACGCGGAGGCCGTCGAAGCCGGCGAGGGAGGTGTCGGCGCGGAGGTCGGCGCCGCGCTTCCAGATGCGGTAGGTGTCGGAGGGGGCGGCGCGGGGGAGGAAGGGGAGGAGGGGGCTCTCGAAGTGGAAGGCGAGCTCGAGGTAGAAGTCCGGGACGCGGCGGAGTGCCGCGAGGAGCGGCGGGAGGCGGCGGCGGAACTTGGCCCAGGCGGAGCGGCGGTGGTGGCGGAGGAGCAGCAGCGCGAGGCGGCGGCGCCGGAGGCAGAGCGCCTCCTGGAGCGGGGTCCATCCGGCGGCGTTCTGGAGGGACGGGTCTGCGCCGGCGGCCGTAAACGCGGCGACGGCGGCAGCGCGGTCGAGGCGGACAGCGAGGTGGAGCGGGGTGTCGCGGCGGGGAACGTCACGGCGGTCGAGTACGGCGGCGATCTCCGCAGCGAGACGCTCCTCGCGCGCCGAGTCGGACTCGGTGGCCACCTCGGTCGGGTGGGCGAGCCGGGGGAGCGACGCGATGAGGCGGCTCACGGCAGCCGAGTCGCCCAGCGCCACAGCGTAGTGCGCCGGGCTGTGCGCGTACTCCTCGATCCTCACCCTCTCTTCCTCCATTCCTCTCTCTCGCTCTCTCTTTGTCCCAAGCAGAAACGAAGTGAGGAGGAAGAGCGGAGACGCGAGGAAGGCAACGAAATGATATAATCTCACCCACCCTTTCTTTTTCTTCTTCTTCTTCTTCTTCTTCTTCCCTTTCTCCCCTTTTTTTTTTGTTGATTATATTCTTCTTTACTCTCTCGAGTCGAGGTTTGCTTTATCGGGTTTCGGGTAAGAGCGAGGGATCCGGTGAGGAGGTTGTATCTTCTCTTCGCTTCTCTTTCCTCTGCTTTGTCTTTATTTCTCTCTGTCGCCTCTTCGCTTCGCTCCTCCTTTTGCTTTTTCTCGACCCCTATTTCGATTTATTCGATTACCATAAAAACCCCGTAAATTGGGCGAGAAATGGCGGAAGCGGAAGCGGAAGACGAGGGCAGACCTCTCCTGTGTCGTCTCAGACAGGGAACGCGGAGTTCCCCGCACGAAGACTGCGCGGCCCGATGAGACGAGGCACGTGGCAGTTTCCACGCGGCGGGAGGACGTGTCTCCGGTCGGAGGCTCTGCACAGGGAGGGAACGGCGGGGGGGCCGGCTGGTCACTGCCGGTCTCTGTTGGGAGGCGTCCTCTAGCCTTATATGGAAAGGTGGTGATAAGGGCACGCCACATTTCTCGTGTTCTGTACGAACTTGAGAGGAGGCACGAGACATATAAGCTCCGGCGAGACTTTGGTCGCCTCCGCCCATACCAGTGTCTGTCTGCAGTGAATAATATATAAGTTATTTTATTGAATATTTGTTGTATAATGTAAATATCTTCTATAACTTGGCATGTTGTATGTAGTTTGCACGCATCAGATGGCGACGAATGGCGGCCACATCAACATCTTCTTATCAATATTTTTATATTTAATATCTCTACGTTATTTCTATTTCAGCTCATCATCTTTGAAGATTACACTCTTCGACTCATGCTATGGAGTGTTGTTACAATAATAATAATAAATAAATAAATAAATTCTCAAAAAGGTTTTTATTTTTCTCCATAAAATTTTTCTTTCTAATTCATCCCTATAGAGTATTCTTATTTTTTCTAAATTCGTTGTTATCGTATCCTCGTTTGTCACTCTCACATGTTATTATCACTATGCACTCATCTGTCGTTATTAACGCATCGCGAGGCTTTCATCTTCCATCTCTGTCGTTACTATTGTTTCTTTACTTTCTTCGCCTCTAACATTTTTAACGGTGCTCATTTCGAGGAGGGCTTTATTGGTCCCCTCCTCCATCTCCTAAAATTTGAGCTCTAGTGTTGAATGATCGTATCCCCATCTATTTTTACTCTCGTGGTTGGGCAGTCAAAGGAGTAAAAAATAACCAAAAAAACTCGAGAAGGAGGCATGAGCGATTTGCAACGTGATAGACCATGCAATGAAGAGAGAGGAAAAGCTTAGTCATGGTTGTCTCTTTTCTCTCAATCGTTTTACCTTTTATCAAAGTCGACGCTTATGATGTATAAACAGAGCTTGATGCATAGCATGATGAAAGATGACGAGACCTTCTGGTGATATAGAGATGGTGCCATGGTTGCCCCTTTATTCCTAGTCTTTTCCCTTATCTTGGTATTGTTGGACAAAGATAATACCTGATAGCGAAGTAAAAGCGATCATGACAGAATGACAAGGTGAAACTAATAATCAACGGAGCCAATGATAATAAGAGTAATATTATCTTTCAGTAAATATAAATTACGTTTATAGGAATAAAAAAATATTGTTTGGAAAAAATAAGAGAGGTAAAACTTAAGGTTTTTGTTTTTTTAATTTAGCTAGTGATAATAGTAAAACGGGTTGAAGGATAAGAGTGGGTGATGTTACAGTAGTCGAGGGATGATGATGAGACAGGTGATTCCTGACTCCCGTGAAGATTCCTATGCAGTAAGCCCATCGGTTGATGCACACAAATAGTATTGCTCTCAACATAATCTGTCTGCGGCAAGAAAAGATGGTGATTTTTTCTTTTTTTTTTCTTGTTGCATATACTCAGATCCATAGAATCAAATTCGCATTCACCGATTGTGTTTGGGATGGAAATAAGTGGAAGATCATCATCTATCTAACTCGTCTAAGTCAAATCAAATAGAAAAATGAGCACTCGAGTCAAATTTGAGATGGCTTGGAATACACGAACGACAACGATCGATATTAATTCAAATATTAGAGTTTTTTTTATTATTATTATTTAATTATATTTAGAAATCAAAATAAATTGATTGCATCTTTCAAAATAAACTATTTGAGCTTTACAAGCTTCTAAGACAACTCTTTAAAGGCAAATTGAAACATGTTAGGGGAATTATCTAATCCAATATGATTCAAACTCAAGGGCATAAGAATTTCTAACGTAGTTACTTAGGTAGCTTTAAGGTGAAAATGTTAAGCTCCTGAGGCATCACTTGCAATAAGACTGATGTCGAGAGAAATTTTTTGACATAATCCCTTTTGACGCTCAAATTAGTAATCGAGGTATCTTAGTAGATATAGGTTTTTCTTTAAAAGAGAGGTCATCGACGTAACATCAGAGATTAATTTTTATACCTTGTCTTAGATGGGATAATATGTAACTATCTCAACATCCACCTCTCGGTATTTTGTCTACGTGGATGAGGAGGGGGTAGATAATTTCGAACAACTTATCTTAAACTTTTATCCCTACAAGCAGATAGATGAAGGGTAATCTATATTTTTTTTATTCATAATATCTTTCATGTGACGAATATGTGTTGAATGATAATTGACCATCAATATATTTCATATCAAAACGGAATTAGAATGCACATATGGGATTAAGTGTGTTCTTAATGATGACACAATCGATCTTTCTCTTCCTCCTTAATAATGATGAATAATAAATAATTAATAAATATATAAATAGATAATAGCACATCCGTCTTCCATAGATTAAACTTCTTCTCCTATTAAAAAAAAAATTTATTGAAATGTCAATCCTACTACTTGTAAATCTGTCAATTATATGTCTATCAACAAATTGAATTTGTTCGATGACACCTTTTTATTTGGTCCAATAAAATTATTATTTCATCACATTATAAAATAAATTAATAAATTTTAAAAATAAATAAACAAGCAATATTATAGTGAATATATGCTATGAATAGTCATAAAAAAATTTGAATTTGTAAAAAATTAATATCAACTTTGCTCGGTCTAAATCACCGATCAAAATGTTTAAACTAAAATTAATAGTAATACATTCATCGGATCCTTATAAGTCAATCTTAATATTGTCAACTTTCGATGTGGGACTAATCAGGGGTATTATAGCTTACGAGGAAGTTGATCTAAGAGAACATGATTTCCACGTAACTTCGGTGATGGCATTAAGGTTGTGTTCACCCAACATAAACAACAATGTTGTGGTGGGTATCCTCGAGTTGCCTTTGTTGCTCGAATAATGACAAGGCCTTGTGCACCTCCGATGGCAATGCATGCAGTGGCAACATTGAATCCAGAGCTAAGTGGATGGAGCCTAGAAGGAGATCATGCTATTGGCGTCAGATAAATCCAAGAAATGATGTCCTAATTCTGATCCAACAATTATTATATACAATTTTGGATAAAATACATGAATCATATGTGTTGAGAGATAAAATAAAAACACAAAGGAATTAGGACATTCTCGAATCATATGTGATTAGATAGGATTCATATGCTATCAAAATAAGAGAACCTGCGTGCCATTGGCGGCTTCGTAATGAGTTAAGAGCCGACCCATAAGACCGGTTGTGTTGGCTGGTTTCTCCTGAAGGGAGGAGAGGCGAAGGACAGGTGGCGGTGGGCTGGAATGAGGAGGGATGGTGGGCAGGGCGAGGAGCAACGTGTTGTTGTCGTGTTGACAGCGCCGAGGCGGAGAGGGAGGCGGGCCACCACGTGTGGGGTCACCCAGGCGTACGCGGACCGATCTCCATGGCCCACCTCTTCCCTCGCCCGCTGTCTCTGCTCCCAATCAATCAAACGATTAGTGGAGTAATTATAGCAATTAGTAACATGTCGATCCTAATCCCCTGGGCCCCTCCGCCCCCCGGAGGTCCCCCGTTGGCAGCATCGACACCATTCGCGCCACTCAGATCTTACGTGTAACCAAAACGCCTCCCTCCCTTCCATACCCACCTAAACAATCCCCGCCCCGTTTAAACGTGTCTGCTCCCCGTTTTACCCTATAGGAAACGAGGGCGGGCCCCCACCTGTTGGCCTGGACCCACTCCCAGGTGGTGCCCTCGTGATTCAGGTGGGGCCCACAACCGCCACCTCCTGTTTCTGTTTTGTTTTATTTAATTATCTTAGCTTGATTATCTATAAATATACGTATTTTGTTTCCGTTGGTTGTTTGATACAGATAGAGGAGTAGATATAAATATGGAATCCTTCGGAGGAGCTCAACGGAAAGCAAGCAAGGAAGAAGCCATGACGGGCGAGGAAGGAGGAGAGCCATCGACGGTGGAGCAGGCGGTGGCGAAGGGATCCGCCGTCGGAGAAGGGGGGAAGAAGGGGGGAGGCAGAGGAGGAGAAGGGCTGAAGAAGGGGCCGTGGACGCCGGCGGAGGACGCGATTCTGGTGGAGCACGTGCGGCGGCACGGGGAGGGGAACTGGAACGCCGTGCAGCGGCACAGCGGGCTGGCCCGCTGCGGCAAGAGCTGCCGACTCCGCTGGGCCAACCACCTCCGCCCCAACCTTAAGAAGGGATCCTTCTCTCCCGAGGAGGAGCTCCTCATCCTCCGCCTCCACGCCCAGCTCGGAAACAAATGGGCCCGCATGGCTGCCCAAGTACTCCTCTCCTCCTCCACCTTCCTCCCTCTTCTTCTTCGTGCAAAATCTCATCTCCTTCGTTTCTTCGGCGATGGCAGCTGCCCGGAAGGACCGATAACGAGATCAAGAACTACTGGAACACCCGCCTCAAGCGGCGCCAACGTGCTGGTCTACCTATCTACCCACCGGAGATGCACGACGACGCCAGATTAGACGGCCACCACCACCACGACCCGCAGCGTCAGGTTAATACAACGTCGCCCGTAACGCTTCGGCAGCTCGCCGCGGAGCTCCCATCTCTGCAGCTGCCCCCGTTGGTGGATCCCATCGCCTTCCGCCCTCTGTCGGGAATCACTCTCTCCCCGTTCCCGCAGAATCCATTCGCCTCTCAGCTAGGTCTCGGGTTCCCGCCCTCACCCGCCTCCCAGCCACCCACCCCGACTTCTCTGTTCCAGCCGCCGCAGCAGCTAGGGTTGGGGAATTACGCTATGAATCAGCCGCCACCATTTTCGCCGGCGTTTGCCGTCAAAATGGAGCTCCCTTCATGCCAATTGTTCGCTGAGCCCGTCGGCCGCAGCGACGAGCCGAGCAGTTGCGGCCTATTAGAGGCTCTGCTGCAGGACACGCAAACCATAGAGGATATGAAAATTGCGGAGCTCTTAGAGCTGCAGGAGGCCGACGAGGAGGGCACGAGGTGGGAACAGCTTTTCTGCGATCGCGGTAACGATGGGGAAGGGATTAAGGAGACTTCTCAGGGCTGTTCTTCTGCCAAGTTCGAAGGCTTCGATTGCTGCATGGGTGAGGCTTACAAACCTAATCCCTCTGTTTCTGTTTCATGCTTAGTAATAATGAGTTCCTATTAAAATTGAATTCATAGAGTAATGCCTGAATTCGCAGTTTTTTCGTCATATCTTTCTTGTTAGCTTGATCAACCTACCTTCCTGTTCCTATTGCATGCAATGGTAATCTCAGCATTAGAAATAATATGAGTCCTGATTGCTTTGATTATGCCTAAAGTTAGAAATAATACTTCAAAAAATTTGTAATCTTTTGTTCCTACAAAGTCTACAGTCCATCTTTGACATATGTGTAGTTTCTCCAGTATTGCTAAGGTTGTGAATGAATGCATGGAGTGTAAATGTTGGTACCTCCTCTGAGTGCCTCTTTGAACTCTTCTATGCCACTCTCTTTTCTGGAAATATTCTCCCTTGCAGGTCTGTGTCTGAGGACAGACAAAGATGGATGGAATTGCAGGACACTGACTGCTTTTACCTTTTAGTACTCTTCATGATGCCTTCCCTTCTGATCTATTTCTCTCCACTTTGCCTTTTCCTAATTCTTCAGCTCTTTCTATGTATCTCTTCTGAGGCCTTCCTCAAGTGTCCACTTCTATTTCACTAACCAAATCATAGATCACCACGCAGCAACACTTGCCATGTTCTTCATGGCCCTACTTTCCCCTTTTTAATTAGCATTTGGTCCTACAATTTGAAGACTGCTTCTCAAAGCCAACCATAATTTTCATGCTCCTCCCTCCAATTTTCTGATGCATATAGATATTTCAATTTCTTCTATGATTTATATTCTTCTTTTGAGAAGCATATTATCAGCATTTGTAGTGCTGTTAAAACTCATAACTTAATGCTCCATTGCTAATTGGCCAATGGTTCCATCAGGAACAAAGATCAAAAGTGAGCAACCGGGCGATGCTAGTCTTGCGAACGATGACATAGCCACACTTCTTGATATCCCGGTATCGACGATGTCAATGATTCCTGACTGGTGCAATAGCGATGGCAGGGACATTTCCAACGGGCAGTCATTGGTCACGACGAGCGATGAAATCGGGCTTGACATACATCAGTTGGCTTCTTCCCTCTCCGCCGGATCCACAGAGCAAGACTGGAACATCAGCTTGTGGCCATGGAACAATATGCCAGGAATCTGTTAGACCTTCATGTAAATGAGCATTGGTTCTACAGTAAGGTTAGTTCATACTGTGTATGTTTACGGCATGTAACTCAATGTTCTAGACCTCATAGTTGGAAGTAAGTTGCAATTAATTACTGTGTATCAACTTATACCAAGTGGTTGTGTTGGATAGTAAGTAGTGAAATCTGTGTTTCTTCGTTTTTACCATGCACCATAACCAGGAGTTCTCAACTACTGAACAAGTAACGCTTGATTGGTTCTGAAATCTCATGTATGTAATCAATGTTTGTATCAACATGTCTTCTGTCTTTCTCAGTTTTTGCAACCTAGTTTGCAAGAAAGAAGATGAATAGACAACAAGGATATCAGATCATGACATCCTAGGTTGAGCTAATTTTAGTTGGCTGAAAAGAGAAGTCTTGTTAATGACTGGGGTGTCAATGCCTAGAATAGTAGAAAAGGTTTATCATGACTAATGTGATCACAGGATTATGATTGATTTGGGGAGAAGTCTTGTTAATGGGAATACATAATTATATATACATGCTATCTTGCCATCCATTGTCACCAACTTCCACTCACATTTGGTGATGGTTTCATTGTTGGCCCCCCTCCTTGGTAGGGAGCTTTTAGAGTCAATGATACTTCTGACATTACTTTGATGGCAAAAGCTCTACCTGTTTCCAAAAGTTATCTCCACTATCTGTGTGCACAAGCTATCAATTGGTGTCAATCATGGGTTCACCTAACTTTCATCAAATGTGGAGATTCTTATATAGACTGTTTCCAGTGGCTCATGTAGGCAGCTTCATTGTCTGATATGGTTCTGAGAAATTAAGTTGCTCATTTCCAGGGGTGATGTACATGAGCTGATTTTTACTTTTCTCCTTCAGTGATTTTTGTTGAAAGAGTAGTGTGCATTTAGTTTGCATGACCATGGATCACTTCACCATGCACACACAAATATATGCCTGGCTTGGTTTCTGCTTGTTTCAAGCCACATATTTCTCCCACAGTTGATATACTTGACTAGTTTCTTTGAATGCACATATTCTGTGGAGTCTTCAGCTTCTTGCAGGATTGGGTTGGCAGCTGTTGTACAGTTGTGGCACCTCATGCTAGACTTGTCAGAAGAGAGCAAGATAGTGAAAGTTATGTGGTGCTCTGACTCATCAGGTTCAACTCTACAATACTGTGCCCTATTTTTAGCTGAGTAGGCTATTGTCACCATGTTCTAACATATCTCTAAGCACCTTCTTTTTCTTTTTTCATTCATTAAAGACTTACTATGTGAAAAGATATAACATTACTTGATTATGATGTTGATCACATTTTGCAGGGAACTGTTACCTAATCTTATCATATAAAAGAGATGTGACATTTCTTGATTTATGTAAATCCCAACTTGTATGATTGATATTTTTAACTGTTTTGGATTGTTGTTTGAGATGTACACAGCAAATATACAAGGGCTAGATATTAAATTTCTCTTTCTTATTCAAATTCTCAATGTCTCCTTCCATCACTCAAGAGATCTGACACTGATTTCCTAGTATTAAGTAATTCTGCATGAAGAGCCTTCTCTGCTCCTTGCTGCTCTGAGGAAGATAAAAATCTATGTAATTAACTTTGGACTATTGCCTTGACAGGGGTTGGATTGCTGTTGTTTTGGGCTAGAAAAGCTGGGAGTTTTTTGTTACATTGTTGCAGATTTGTTCTTGACTCATTGTGTCTTCTCTAAGATGGATGTGGCTTTTGGCCTTTGTGAGCCTTTTTAATGGCTCTTCTTGTTCTCTCTTATGATCCCTAATAAATGTTGAGAGATGCAGCCTAAAAGAAAGAGCTTTTTTTTTGTTTTTCTGATGGTAAAGTGATAGAGGATGGGATTCTGCTAAGCTAGCTTGTCTGATGGGGTGCAAAATCAGCTACAGATTAATCTCATGTTTCTATAGGTTTGAAGACAATCAAGCTATATTTATAGGCATTAAGCCCACAACTTAGTGAACTTAAATTTTTATTTTTAGATCATGTTGGTGTCTAGTCTCCATATATGATGGTCTAGATCGGATGTATGATGCATGATGGTCTTGATCAACTCAGACTTGTAATCAAAAGAATTCAATATTCTTTTGAATCTGCAATGAAATGGACTCATGAATAAGAATCTGATGGACATCATGGTAAAGTCTTATTCATGCTGCTTTCATAAATATACTTGTTCTTCTGCACCAAGAAAAAGAAGGGAATAGAAGACAAATAAGCTAAACCCTGAGCATGCCTTTTCTAACTTGTTTGCACAGTAATCATGTACAAGTGTGAGTATGCTTTAATGAAGTGTATGACCTTCTTTGGTTCTGTAACATAACAACTTCCTAGATGATGCTGTGACATTATATTAATGCACTACAACATCAAATGCATCAACTAATAAATAGGTAAAAGTTCTAGTTTAATAACATCGATGAGAATAAGGCCTCTCAAGCACCACATCTATACAATAAAATTAGTTGAACGTACTAAATAATAGATTAATAATCGAGCAATTGGATTTAACAAGGTTCTAAGCCAACTAATAGACAGAACTTGGTCGGAAATCATTGTTACAATTTGAATTGTAGCCCTGTAGTTAGGCATTCTGCAATATCAAATTGACAGTGAAAGGAACTAATTTTAGTAGGATACAGACATTTGCAGGAACTACAATTAAAACCCTTTCGCACATGCTATGAAAAAGCTGAAGCACTAAGATTTTTTTTTTCTCGTATTAGTTAAACAGAGAGTTATTAACAAGGAATATATAAATAGACGAAAATCATACAGTATACATGAATTCCACAAACCAAGAGAAATTATGTTGCCATGTAGGCGACAAAAGTCTACACAATTTCATAGCGTAAACAAGCCAGATCATCGTCTCTGTAAAACCCGAGTCCGAAACAATCTAAATATAGGACTTTATTCTACTAATAAGCATTATCTGTTACCAGGCCCTAGAAACTACAAGCTTGTGATAATCCAAAGCGCGCGTGCTGCTATATGTCATGTTTAAGGACCATCCTCCATGTTAAAGTATGATCAACCATGATCAACCAAAAAGCCTCATCCTGTTATATGTCATGCTTAAGGACTGAAAAGCACGACCAACCATGGTAAAGTACAAGCTCAATCATGGTAAAGTATGATCAACCAAAAAGCCTCATCCTGTTATATGTCATGTTGAAGGACTATCCTCCATGTTTTCTATTCATGTTTAGGCCAGTTTGCCAACTTGCATGATCAACCCATCTACCCTTACAGTATCAGTATGCTCCTTGGAACTCCAGTTTATGCTGCTTAAACAGTGTTGTCTTATACAGCATGTCATATGAAATCCATATCTTATGCAGCATCTAGTGGACTAATTTTAAATTAAAGAGAATGATAAAAATGAGTAAGGTTACTCCAGAGAATAACTAGGTCATTAAAGGAGCTTTGCACTTCCATGATCATTAACAATGCATGGAAGCGGGATGCTTGTCACGATGCATTTCTAAATCGTTCCTACTCACACCAATCTTAATGCAGCTGAACTCTCATCCTGTATGTGATATAATGTCTTGAAGCCCAACCTACATAATATATTCATAATCATAGTACCATATCCTCAATTTAATAAACCCCAGTTATATCATGGGATACACAATTTCAGAAGCACATTCATGGCAATTAAACATTTCCAGGTACATTAGACAAAGTCCTACAGAGAAGCCCACCAAAATAGAATACCTGTTAGAGTGAAATTCAAATCTTTTCATCTAATTTGGAAATTATAATGACTGCATTATGATATACTATTGATTATCCATATAAGCTCCTAACTTCAATCGATCAGGCACTACTAAACGATCAGAACATCATGATGCGACAAGTACAGGGGACCATTTGCATGCTGTAAATTGGCAAGGCTATAAAGAAACAACTAAATTGTTTTACTAGAAAAGATTGCCAACACTGCAACCAACTTACTGGCATCAGCTAGAAATTTTAAAGAGGGTATTGCTAGATGGGGACTTTGACCCAAACCAGCAGCCGGCCAGTTTAACATGGCATGTTGCGGTCAGATGCTGCATGGGCAGATACCTGTACAAAGATGATGTTTTGGGTTCAAAAGTTATAGCAGAATGGAAGATGTTGCTTAAGCTGCACTATGGACCAAATGGATCCATATATGAATCCATACAACAAGCATAAGCTCCGGGAATTGCCAAACAAGTGAAGAAATTTACCCTATTCTCTAACTTTCAGATACTTCCATCTTAAAAATAACAATTAACAATGGCGCAGGACAGTATGTAATACAGAAAAATTACAAAGCAGATTACAAAATTTTCACATACTTGTGAAGTTCAATTAACAGAGAGAGGAGAGTAGTCAGTCAAGAAACAGCATGATCTTTGAGATTGAAAAGTTGCAATGAGTAATTAATTCACTAAGAAACAAAAAAAAAAAAGTTCTTGGTATCATAAGTAGATATCTATCTTTCATCAAGAAGAATTTTGCTATTTCACAAGATGATGAACAAGCTACACAATTAACAATTCAAAGTGAACTATAAGGAGGAAACAGGAAATCTATTTGTTCACCTGAGCAGGACCAAGTCCAGTGTCATTTCCAATCCATTACAGCTCCATTCTATCCAAACCTTGATGAACACCAGCCCGCAGCTCCCATCACAACATCTCCTTGATAAAATCCAGGTTCAGCGTGTCACGAACAATGAGAAAAAGCCCCAGCATCACAACCACCAAGATCCCCGACGACATAATCCGCTGCTCCACCTCCCGCGGGATCTTCCTCCCACCTCTGGCTGCCTCCACAAGAATAAGTGCCAGTGACCCACCGTCGAGGGCTGGCAATGGCAGAAGGTTGATCACCGCAAGGTTAAGATTGATCACCGCGGCAAACTGGAACAGCCCATCGGAGCTCGACCTTGCGACCTCCGCGCCCACTGCGATTATGGCCACGGGGCCGGAGACCTTGCTTGCCGACTGAGAAAAGTTCAAGAAGGTCTGCTTCAGGCCATCGAGCACTGTGGCAGACAACCCCAAGAATTCTCTACTAGCAAACACTGTGGCCTGTGCCAGGTTCTTCGCCCGGACCTTGGAAAGCCTATAATTGGGCGACAATTGGACTCCAATTCTCCCAGTCCCGTCGGTGTTCTCGTCGGGAACCACCGAGAGCTCCACAGATTTGGTCCCCTCCCTCGCCACCGTCATCGCCACATTCCTCCCGGCGCTCGTCTTGATAACATCGACGAGGTCCGAGACGGAGGGCGCGGGAGCCCCGTTGATCCCGAGAATGACGTCGCCGGGGCGGAGGCCGTCGCGTGCGGCGGCCGATCCGGGGCGCACCTCGGGCACGAGCAACCCGGGCACCGGCTCCTGAACGGGGAGGCCGACGGTGAGCACCTGGGCGAAGACGATCAGGTACGCGAAGACGACGTTGGCGGCGACGCCGGCGGAGACGACGAGGATGCGATCGAGGACGGGGCGGTTCTTGAGGAGGTCGGCGTCGTCGGGGGGGACGTCACTGTCGGGGTCATCGTCGGGGAACCCGACGAAGCCGCCGAGGGGGAAGGCGCGGAGGGAATACTCGACGCCGCCAGCGACGAAGCTGGCGAGCACCGGGCCGAAGCCGACGGCGAACTTGCTGACGCGGATGCCTTGGAGTGTGGCGGCCAGGAAGTGGCCGCCCTCGTGGACGAGGATGATGGCGGCAAGGACGGAGGCGGCCTCAGCGACGGACTGGGGACCCTCGATGCCGCCGACAGCGGCGGTGGGGCCGGCGGAGGGATGACCACCGCCCTCCCGTCCCCCGCGGCGCCGCCGGCGCCGGCGATGGCGGGGGAAGAGGAAGGGTTGGAGGGCAGGGGGAGGGGTGTGGATGGGTCTGAGGAGGGAGTGAGGGGAAGAGATGGAACCGAGCTTTGGACGGCAAGGAGGGAGGAGGAAGGAGTGAGCTGAGGCCGAGAGGCTCATCATCATATATCAGAAAAGGAGAGTTTGTGTGTACTTGTTAGCGTTTATTTGAGGATTGAAATGGAGAGAGAGAGAGAGAGAGAGGAGGGCGGAAGGGAGGAGGAGGGTGAAGACCGTTTGGATAATTCATGGCACAGAGGGTGAGGAAATCGGAGGTGTATGTGTGGATAGGAAGCAGGCAGATGAAGCTGTTAGTTTGATTTGCTCTTCTTTGGGAGGATTTGAACGAGTGGCCTCTGAAGCCAACAATTGTAGATTAGTCGCTTGTGTTGACCAAAGGATCTCCCTCTGCAAATCGATGTGGATTAGTGGTTTGTGTCTAACTCAAGTTTGACTTGCTACGTGATTATTGAATCGGATTGGACTCGTAATCGGAACCAATGATCCCAGTCTGCCGCAAATCGTCACATGCCAACCGACCTTTGGTCTTTAAGATTCGGGCTTTAGTATTTGGGCTTGGGCTTTTAGGTAAAATGCTGAAACTGACCTTGAACTAATTTATCGATTACCTACAGACAGGATTATGTATCATTAACCTACCTGCCATGTGATTGGACCCGTTGAGCTCTCTAAACTGGGTCCCGCAGAAGCGCCACAAGAGTTCGCCATTCATAAAGCAGGTAAGATTTGAGGGTAGCGTCGAACGATCGTGTGGACGGAGTACTGCGCTTGGCATAAACCCTATCAAGCGTCGTCAGAAAACCCGAAATTTCGGTCCGCTTCTGTCTGCGTTGCACGCACCGCCTGGCCGTCGTCACAGCCACCGGGATCGGGACGCAGCGGAGGAGGCGAACATGGCGGACGTCGTGCAGTACCGGCTGGAGCGGATGACCGACGAGCTCGACGATCTCGAGCGGCGCGGCCTCTTCTCCCGCCCAGAGATCGCCGAGATCGTCCGCCGTCGCCGCGACTTTGAGTACCGTCTCAAGCGCCCGTCCCCGCTGAAACAGGACTTCCTTGCCTACATCGACTACGAGAAGCAGCTCGACGCCCTTCGTAATCTCCGGAAGCGCGCCATCATCGGCGAGCTGATCAAGGAGAAGCAAGCGCGGGAGGAGAACGAAGGGGCTGATGAACATAAGAAGAAGAAGAAGATGTCTAAGAAGTGGAAGAAGTCTATCTCCGATATCGCTGGGGTTTTGAGGATCTTGGATATTTACAGGATGGCCACGGTGAGGTACAAGGCCGATTTGGATCTCTGGTTCAAATACCTCGAGTTTTGCCGAGAAAAAAGACATGGGCGGATGAAGCAGGTACCAAATATGATATCTTTTTTACCTTTTTTTTTCCCTTTTCCACTTCATTCATGATTGATTAGGACAGAGTGATGCTAGTTTTGGGCTGTGCTGCTCTCTTGTGATCATCTAGTCTGCACTAGACATGGCGTAGTATTAGATTTATAATTTAAAAAGAGGAACAAAAGTAATTTCCAAGGAGCTCTAAAATGCTCCTTTTGTCTTGCCTGTTGTTATTTATAGTTGTATATGCATGCTTTTTCCTATTAGAAAAGCTACAATTTTTTTATGAAAAAGGGGACAGCTTGATTATTGTGAGAAACCCTTTTCTTTGGCTTCCATGTTAATGAAATTGCCAATTTGCTGATGTTTCTAATTTATTATGAACTTCTGTCTATTTTAAATTCAATAGAAACAATGCACATTCATGTTGACCTATATGCATTAAGTTCATGCATAACTCTTCAAGCATATTGTTTTTGTTCGTTCATTGATCCATTGATGACGCTGCTAATCGGCAACGTAAGCAATATATCTGGTTCTATATTTTTGTAGGTGCTAGCACAGGCAATTAGATATCATCCAAAGGTCCCTGGACTTTGGATCTATGCTGCAGCATGGGAGTTTGACCAAAATTTAAATGTTGCAGCAGCTCGTGCTCTCATGCAGAGTGGTCTCAGGACTTGTTCTAGTTCCGAGGATCTGTGGATTGAGTATCTCCGAATGGAGCTCACTTATCTCAACAAACTGAAGGCTCGAAAAATTGCTCTAGGAGAAGATGTTAAATTGTTGCAGCGAAACAACAGTGATGCAGATAGGTGGAAAGAAGAGAACAGGGATCTTTTCATGCCTTTGAATGAAGAACAAGGATCCAACGCACAAGAAGGTAGTTTGGACAAGGGAGAAGAACTTTTCTTGCAGCAAGGTGCATTGGTTCTCCAAACCATATACCATGGAGCCATTGAGGCTAATCCATCAAGTCTGAGCTTGCGCCAGCGATTCTTGGAGATTTTAGATACTGTGGATTTAGCACATTATGATGAATTGAAAGTTGAGGTAATGGAAGATCTTAAGAAAGATTTCTCACACGACGAAAACTACTGGGACTGGATTGCTAGCTTGCAAATTGGTGACATTTCAGAACTGAAGGATTCAGAGAGATCTAAAATTCTGTCCAAGTTGGATAGAGTTGTTCAGGTGAGTGATGATTTGGAGATATGTCATTGTTTTCTTAATTTAGTATCATTTGGCGATAAAACTTCAGTTTGCTGGCAGGACTAGGAGATTATTCAAACACAGCTTATGAGTTAATTACAGTGTCCTGATGATATGCTATTCTTACAAAAAGAGATTGCTGTTTATTTTTTCTGCAAAATTAGTTCTCCTAGATTAACCATCCGCGTATTCATACTTGAACCATATAATTTCATTGCATTTCTTCATCTTAATATAACATATATAAGCTTCTTGGTAAACATTATCTTTACGGTACTTTGATTACTGATATATGCTTTAGGTTTATGAGGAGGCTGTAAATGTCTTGCCAACTGCCAAGATGTTTTCTCTTTATGCAAAGTTTTGGCTGGATGTTTTGGTTTCTGATGGTGAAGATTCAACTTCTGCTCTGAGTAATGCTGTTGTCGATGATCGAGACTTTGTATCATCTATCATTAAGGTTTATGAAAAGGCAGAATCCCGTGGATGCCTTACAGCAGATCTTGCCTGTCAGTACGTTTCATTTTACTTGCAAATTGGGAGGTTAGATGAAGCAAAGAATCTTGCTAAGAAACTTTGCAACAGTAAACTTCCGGACTCTGCAAATTTATGGATTCTGAGAGCTTCAATTGAGATCAAATGGTTTACAAATAAATCTTCTGCGATCAATAAGGATGACTTGCATTCTGTGTTTGAGTTCTTAAAAGATGTGCTGACTAGACTATCCATCTCCGAAACTGAGTATTTGTGGCTTATGGTATGTAACCTGCATTTTGCTCAATTTTGGTCAAATGTTTACCTCATTTATATTTTGAGCAACTTTTATATCAAACCTTAATGAAAAACACGTCATATCTGGCAGAAGCTATGCCGATAAACAAATGGCCTTTTAATTCATTGGATGCATAGTCACCACAACTTATTGTCGTCTTTCTGTTGTTCTGCTCAGTGTATAATGACCACAACCTCACTTTTACGTGCTGCATAGAACTATATGTTTTCTGGATAAATATAAGAGCCCCAGTGCCTCTCCCCACATTTGTTGTGGAATTGAACGTGCTAAATATGGGTTCTAAGAAGGTATCTGCTTAGTTTTCCAACAGTTCCCAATAGTAGTTTGTGATTCTCTCTAGTTTTACATCACTAGAGGAAGTTTGTGTTGTTGTTGGACCTTGTAGGTTCACTAGTCTATCCTGATTATTCAAATTAGCCCTGTCACCTTCTTTTGTCAAAGTATGGCTGTGATTGATGTTGGATTTCATATCCAGTTGATCTGAATAAAGTCCAGACAGCTGAGTTACTGGATAGTTGTTTGCTAGTTTAAACAATGATCAACCCTAATTTTCAAGGCATAGTTATCATGTTTCATTTTCTTTATTTTAAATTTGGTAACAATTATTATTTTTGGATCATAAGTAATTTATTTCTATCTCCAATGTATTTCAAAGGCATAGTTATCATGTTTCATTTTATTTCTTTTAAATTTGGTAACGATTATTATTTTAGGTTCTTAAGTAATTTATTTCTATCTCCAATGTATTAAAGGCACTGAAAGTCTTTTCAAACAACAAAGGGTTTTTTGAAAAGCTGGTGAAGTTTTTAATGCTTGCATTGGGGAAAGCTAGTGGTACTGATTCTGGAACATCTGTTTCTTCTGCTGTCGTGAATTGGGTTCTCCAAAGAGAGGGTATTCAGCAAGCAAGAGTGATGTATAAGAGGTATGTTGCAAATTTTCTTTCTGTAGAGCTTTTCTTTTTCTATAGTCTCATCTCGCATTGCCTTAAAAAAAAAAGTTTGCTTTTGATTACTTTTCTTGTCAGCTCCATAGATCATCCTTTTACCACCTGATCTCAGAAGATAGTTCCTAATTATTAATTAATAGTTTAACATATATGATAGTTAAATCAACTTATGATTAATAACAGGGTAATAAGATAGCCATCATCCAGTAATAGGACACATAATCAATTAGCTTTAGCTGCTTCAGTAGTAAACATGATTATGAATATTAAAAGAAGCTTGAGATCTGGAGGACTTGGTATTATACTCAAGTGCTATGTGGTTCATTGAGTGGTTTGAGGACATCGGAGTGATGTTGGTCTCATATTCCAGTTGTCTCAAGTTAGAATGAAGATGTGTGCCTACTTTGGAATTCTTCAGTAACAGTTAATCCTTAAAAGACTGAAATGTTCAACATCCGCATCTGTTGCCCATTTCATCATCCTTATCTGTTGCCCTTCTTGTAACCTTGTTCAACTATCATGTTCTATAGTTCAACAGTCATCTATATTGTGTAGATTACAATGTTAGCCAGTTCAAATATAACATGTGCTAGAAATTAGTATAAATGAAATGAGTGTTAATATGGATCATTGATGTACAGGGTTATTATATAAGATAGAATAAAAAAGAACCTATAATTATAGAATAGGTAGGGAGTTATGATTGAGGATGAAATAAGAGAAAACCATTTAAGATAGTATGAATATATTCGAAAGCTGCTCACAGATGCATCAGTGACATGAGGTATGCCAATCAGCATTGGCAACATGAAAAAGGGTAGAGCATGCCTCAACAAAAGGTGAATTTGATGACTCTTACTTTGACTAGTGATGTTATCTTTTATGGAACTTTATCAGTGAAAGATTCATACAGCCAACCACAAATAACAGGGACTTTATGCTTCCTTGTTCCTTTTTTTCCGCTGTTTTTCAAGTACACATATAATTGCAAGGCCAAACTACCACTGGAGCATATCCCACATGCACTTCATATACCATTGAAGGTTGGCTATCTCACATCTTTTTATTTGTGATTTAATGCTTCTACTTTGACAAGAAATTGAGATATGTACTAGTTTTACAGTGTTGTGATGAAGTATGTCAATGTGTGATGTCCTTTTATGTCAAACTTATGTTTCAAATGTCATAATTGTCTTATCTTGTTTATGCTGCTCAGTATTCTGTTCTAAGTAGTGCTTCTGAACTAGGTTGTTTTTATTTATTGATTATAATGCATTTTGTCTATTCATTTTTGTTTCTGTTGTAACAGTTTTTGGCATTTTATCGTATATCTAGCTGATTCTGGGTATATTGACACCTGTCTGCAGATTTCTAGCTTTACCCCATCCGAGTCTGAAATTCTTCAGATATTGTATGGAGCTTGAACAAAACCTCATCTTTGTCGGAGATAATCTTGGTGTTACATGTGTTCGCAAGTTGTATGAATCAGCTCTGGGCATCTATCCTGAGAACAGGGAATTGTGGAGAGATTACTACCTCTTGGAAAAGAAGGTGATGATATTACTGTTATTTTCTTTTGATTAATCATGCCTTTAGCTGTCCGTGTTCAATCTTCTTATCTTTTGAGATGTTTTATTTCATTTTTAACAGGTCGGGACATCCGAATCTGTAAATGCTGTCTACTGGCGTGCTCGAAAAACCTTAAAGGACACATCAATGATAGTTAATACTGACTTGTAATCAATTTTTTTAATGTCAGTATCATCTGATCTCAGTATTAATAGTTTATTTTTACCTAATGAATGAAATTTTGAGTTTCAAATTCCAGATCGGCTTGGGTGTATCAGTGGATGCTGTCTCATTAATATTCTTTCTGATTGAAGACACAATTAATTGGGTTTGTTGTTCTTTACATGGGTATGGCTCATTTTGATGTCAGGTTGGTGGTGCATTCGGACAACTCATTCAGATGCTAGTGTAAGGCACATATCTTTCGTCTTGGAAAACTTGTTCTTATGTCAGTTTTATGTAGCCATTTTGGAAGCTCATGTATGCATCTCCAGGACTGGAGTTAAAACTTGAGAATGATGTGTTCTATGATTGAACTGTTATGATGGTGATTCAAAATCAATATTATCTATCTCTCATTCTATTTTAAGGTTATCATATGGTAACATAATAATTATTTAGTTTTCTAGTTTACTTGGGAAAAAATATATGAAAAAATTTGAAAAAAAAAATCAAAGTATGATTATAATTGAAGTATCCAAATCCTGAAGGAAGATTTTACAGTGATTAATTTATATAATAATGGAAGTATATTAATCAAAAATATTATTTTTAAAAAATTAAATCATATATTTGATTTGATTCAATTGTCAATGTTTTGTTTATATATATATATATATATATATATATATATATATATATATATATATATATATATATATATATATATTACATAATCTATAAAAAGGGATAAGAACATTGTAATGAGAAATGAATCGATAAAAAATGGATCAGTTATATCAGTTGATGATATAATTATGATATATATTGAAAAAAAATTGAGTCTTTGTGACTTGATTATGTATATATTAAGAATCTGAATTATCGAAATTAGGAGTGATCTTTGAGCACGGGATTATGAGTGATTTGGTTTAACTTGCATCAGGATTAAAAGTGGCACAATCAATTTACACACCACTTCCACTGCCATCTCTCCCTAGAAAACTAACCCCACCCTTCTCTAAAGAAAGGAGAAGACCTATCTACATTGAATTGTATATAATATTTTTCAATGTCACAATCCTATCCTGATGAGCACTGATAGTCCTTTTATACTCGAGCCCCCTCATCATACTCAAATACTAGATCAGTTTTGATACCAATAAATTAACAGATGACAGGTAAGAAGAGGCAGCAGTAAAAGCTACTAGCAAATGGAGCTCCACTACATTTGTTCTGCAGACGGGACCAAAAGAATCTTTTTAGTCCTCTCAGTTGAGAGGGAACAAAGGAGCTCTTTGGGATCGCAAAGAAGCAACGCATGTGCAGCAGTGCCTATAAAAGTGAGGTGGGAAAGAACTAATCGAATGCACAATACTCGCATGCACGTGAAGGTTTCCGATCCCCGTCGGGTAATTATATATTATCTATTAGTATTATAAATTTTATACTTAAAAAATTTATATCATGATCTCTAAAAAAAAAAAAAAAAAAATCTTATTTATCCTAACGTCATCAACTATATCGACGAAAAATATCATCAACTATATTGACAAAAAACATAACACGTGATACCACATGTTTAATCAACATTAAAGTAATAGGTAAAAATATAATCGAAAATAAAAAGATATTAAAATTATTTTTTTTGCTTATCATTTTTATCCAATGCCACGTGTTATATTTTTCATCAACACAACTCACGATATTAAGACAAATGTGATTATTTATTTTACTTTTAAAATAATAAAAATCATAATATAATTTTTTTAAATATAAAAATCACGATGCTAATAAAGTCTAAATATAGAGGGTAATATATAATTAGCCATATTTTTAAGATTGATTAAAGTTTAACAAAATTAATAAATCAATTATCTCATTAAATTATGTCATAATAATTAATTTGATGAAATTATCAGATCAGCCACCACTAGATTAAACTTTAGCCCTATCTAATGTTTCACTACTAGACTAGACTAAGGTATATAGATATTAGAGACAAACTAAGACATAGATTGACTTATTGTGTCTCTTAATAGAGATCATTGAGTGTTTTGGTTTTGATCATGCATGTCAAAACTAGATTGATGCTATTCAATCATCACAAGTAAAAGTTGAGAGGACCAAGCTAAAAGTGCTTTGATCATGCAATCTATCTAAAGTGGTACCACATTTTCCTTAAAGCATCCAAAATAAAGCTGACAGTACAAATCTGAAGTGCTTTGATCCTGCAGTCTGAATGGTAGTTTCCTATCCTTGTGATGTTGCCATATAGCCTCACTCACTACAACTTCATCTTTCTCACTCATGATATCTTGATGTGCCAACTTCATCTGGTTGGTATCTAAAGAGGTCATCAACCCTTTTTCTTGGTCACTGATGTCATTCCCTTCATTTCCATGCATTCCAATAACTCCATTATTTTGAACAACATGGTAGGACTGATTAAAATGTACATTCTTCTTTGACATCCTAATAATATGAACTATATTATAATTTTCAGCAATGCATTACCAACACAATTCAACAATGCCATCCCTCAAGTTTTCCAAGGTAAAATAAATGTTTTTGGTCTTTTGCTTCTTTATTAGGTCAAAAGATTTTGATGAAAGATAAAAAATTGATTCCAAGGTAAAATAAATGTTTTTGGCTTTTTGCTTCTTTATTAGATCAAAAGATTTTGATGAAAGATTAAAAAAAAAAGATATCTGCAACTGAGAATTGCATGAATTATTAGTAATGATGTCTGCCAAGACTAACTCTAGATGTATCATGTGAAACAAGTACTTGGGGACAAAATGAACTGATAGAAGCTGAAGAGATACTACAATGAGCTGCTTATGTAAATAATCACCACAAATAACCTCTCAAATATAGCTTCTTTCGGATTTGATTCAGAGAACCATATAACAGAAAGAAATAGAAGGAAAAGAAGAACAACAAAATTTTATTATGGAAAGAACAAATATTACAAAAGGAATGAAGAAAATCGATTCAGGGGCTTTTACAAAATTTCCATAGAGAATGGACATCGCACCTCGACTCCCTCGAAATGTTTGCGAAAGATCCTATTAGTTAATTGCTGCCAGCATCAAGACATATGGTTCCATGACAAGGTAGAGACCACCAACATTATGCTTAAGATCATGGGGATAATGTGGTCATGTTCTATTCCAGTTCTTAGTCTCAGTGCGGAGGGTATCCCGGCCTTACTGGCTAGAGTGGCATTCATCCCTGCTCCTGAAACATTCATCTGCTTGCTGGATACAACAACAAAGTTTAGAAGAAATAGCATTTTCATTATTTAGGATGTTACCAAAAAGGTTTATGGTCTTGTCATATCTTACAATGTCAAAAAACTCTATAATCAGATTTATAACAACAACAACAAACTGTTCCATGTCTTTTTATAATCGAATTGGAAACTAGAACTATATCAATCATTTTTGGATCAAAGGCAGGGGGTTTGGTGGTCAAGTAGTTGAAAAATTAAAGAAAAATGACAAAAAAAAAATTCAAGAGTTCCTCATCTATACTTGAGTTTTAGCTTCTAATATTTTCTTTCTTTTTTCCAACCATATAATGACTTTTATTACTTTTTTGTACTTCTATCTTTGTTAACTTCTAGCGTATTTCTGTAGTCTTATTTTACAACTTGAAATGCCAATGGACAAAATTAGAGCAGTGTCAAAACTGTTAAAAGGTAGTGACTATTAAAGTTCTCACCTTCCAGGAAAGATGCAATCCCCATGACCTGCGAGGTAGCATGATGGTGTTTTCAGTGGTCAATAATAAGGTAATACACTCATAATGAAAGATAAAATAATGAACTAGAATTTTTTGTACCATAAGAAATAGCTAAAGGTAAAAAGCAAGAAGATATGGTGTCAATTAAGCAATTGCAACTACAATTTTGGACTTCATAGAATGGCTTAATTGCGATGCACAACAGCCAGAGAAGAACATTTCTCAAACAGATGCATTAAGACAGCTATCTCCTCAACATAGTCTGAATCTTTTAAGCATTAGCTAGTAAAAAGAAACACATCCGGTCATGCAGCACTTGTATGAGTCTTACAAAACCATTACTAAAGGTACAATGGACTAATGTGATGGACCTCCCTTGAAATCATGATAACCTGTTACAATGGACCCCCACTGAGTTTTTCGGACACCAAATCTTTCTGACTTCTGTTCTTTCTTGCCTATTGAGATTTTCAATGTCAGTATAGGTTCATATTTGGTTACCGAAGTACATGAAGAGGAGGATTGTGCTAATTCTGCTGTCTCATTCTCATCTTTAGTTAATGGCTTTGTAGGTTTGTCAGTAAGCAAGCAAGATACACACATCAGATATCGATAACAGATGTTTTCTTCCATTACACCCAATCATTATATAAGAAAAACAATATTGTATTTAATCACACTACTAAAAATTACACTTGAGAAAAGAAATTCAAAATTCAATAATTGAGACAGCTAATATCGTTCATAAAGATGATCAGTAACAAATGGTTTCTTGTTCATAGGCCTGATGTTATCATGGTTGGTTTAATGCCTTTGTGGCCACGTTGTCCCATTAGCCCTAGAACAATCAACCTGATAAGAGAGAGCACACAAAGGAAAGCAACAGATTTCCCTCACTTTCAGAAGAACTCAGTAGCTGAACAATGATACAAAAATGACAACCCTCACATAGAAGAGTAGCTTAAAAGGACTTGTTTAAGCTGTGGTAGAGGTGAGAAGGCCTCCACAACCAGAGTTCTTCTGATGGGATAGCATTCAGATGCAAGCAATAACAAACAAGATTTACAGCAGGATCCAGCACACCCTGCACTGCTCTGCTGTTCTCCTCTGAGCTCAGTGTCCCATCTCTTTGTTGTGGTACCCAAATCTACTCCTACCAGTCCACCTAACTCTCCTTTCAATAAACTCAATTGCACTACCTGCTTGCTTTTGGCCTTTGATAAGCAAGCCATTGATGTTAATTCACTCCTATTGATTTTGAGCTACCAGTAAACTTAAAGCAATGCAACACTGTAACATTTTAATTAAGATGATGCAATGGAAACAGGTTGTAATAGTAGTAATTGAGCTAAAGAGAAGCTTAATTGACGCACTTGGGTCGGTGGTGGTGACCATGGCGACGCCCTGGAAGTAGCAGGAGCCGGCGGCCTTCCCCTCCTTCTGGTAGTAGCTGTCGAAGGCATACGAGGCGTGGCCTGTCACGTCGTTGGGCGCGTAGCAGCTCTCCCCAGGCTGTATCTCCGAACAGTTGGCCCGCCCCGGCCCGCACGCCCAGTCCAGCGCCGCCTGCAGCCCCCGCCGGTCCGCCCCCTCCGCCGCCACGCAGTACGTCCGGTTCGTGGTGTCGTTGGCCAGGAAACCCCCGGCCCCCGACACGTGCAGCAGGTACACCGGCGTCCCGTTGCCGTAGAAGAGGCCCCAGCTGGCTTCCGACGCCGGACCCGGGCGCAGGTCCTCGTCGAACAGCTCGTAGATGTAGACGCTGGGGGTGGCCTCGGGGCGCAGCGGCGTGCCGGCGCGGTCGAGCACGTGGCGGATGACGTTGGAATTGTAGATGCTGGCGAGCTCCCGGGTGGCATAGGGCTCGTCACGGCGGGAGCCATTGCCAGGCCACCCGGTCTCGGTGATGAGCACGGGCACGCTGGTGAAATTGAGGTTGCGCATGGCGACGTAGGCGGCGTCGATCATGGCGTCGAGCACGTTGGTGTAGTGGAGGAGGGTGTTGGGGTCGACCTCCTCGAGGGCCGGGCGGAGGGGCTTGAAGAGGGCGTTGTCGAGGGGAATGGCGCCGCGGCCCTGCATGAAGGCATAGTAGGGGTAGAGGTTGAGCATGAGCGGCGCGGCGGTGTCGTTGAGGAAACGCAGGAGGGAGGTGAGGAAGCCGTTGGCCAGCGACTGGTTGAAGTAGGCCTGGGAGGGCGGGAAGGGGTCGAGGATGACGGAAAATGGCAGCGGGGTGGAGACCGGGATGGAAGAGAGGTTGGCGGCGGCGAGGGCGGCGGAGAGGGAGCGGAGGGCCGGGAGGAGGAGCGGGAGGACCGAAGGCAGCGCGGTGGGGACCTCGTCGCCCACGGCCACGGCCGAGATGGGGGTGTCCGGGTGGAAGGGGACGACGTGGCGGGCGACCCAGGCGGCGGCGGTGGCCGGGGAGGAGCCCAGGGCGAGCAGCTGGTTATTGGGCACGCCGACGGCCACGGAGACGCCGGCACCGGCCAGCGCCGACAGGATTCCCGGGTCGGCGTCGTAGAGGCGGACGTGCTTGATCTGCTGCGCCTCGACGAAGGCGGCGAGGTCCGCCGGCGGAAACAGGTTCGACACGTCGGTGCCAATGTTCACGCCCACGAACGGCTGCTCCGCTCTAGCTGCTGCTGCAACTGCAACACAACCCATGCAAACCTCACCATCATCAGTAACAACAGAATCCAGAGCTAAAGATGTGATCACAGCTCAATCATAATTTACCAGCAGGCAGAGAACGGAAGACTAAGAGGAGAGCGAGGAAGGGGAAGGGGTTTGCTCCCATGAGGATCCCTTTTTGGGGGTCGGACTATAGTTGGATTTATCCCCGGTCGAAAGTGGAAACACCGATGGCATTATTTTCCCGAACGGAGGTTGGTGGGTTGGTGGGAAGAGACTTTTTATCGTCTTCCGCTGCTGTCGGAGTCGTTCTTGTTGCCATTGTCGTTGCTGCTGCTGCTCATCCGTAAGTTCTTTTACCATGGCTTGTGACCATGAGAGGCGGACGAAGCAACAAGATTAGTGACACAAATGATTCAAATCTGGTGAGCAACAACCATATAAGTTGGTCATCCTCATCAATGTTGGCGATGAATCCTTGGATTCTCACGTTGGAAGAGCGCGTCTCATCCAACACTGACAGCGACAGCTACACTTACCTGTGCTCGCCTCCTTCCTGAGCCTGTGGATGTGGTGAGCGTCTAAATCTAGCAGGATTGACAGCGTTCGACTGCGCACAACATGGCTTGCAAGTGGTAGATCACGTGGACACATCCTGTGTTCTCTCATGACCCACCAAAACTGCTGCTTTCCGACGCCATGCTCTTTTTCTTTTGGGGGGTATTTCCATGGTATATAATGTTCTAATTTTGTCATTTAAATCATAAATAATGGCTTCAGATCTTGATCCAATCATCTTCCTTACAGAACCCTATAATGTGTTTCTCCTTAGAGGAGGAGGAGGAGAAAACTAACGAAGATGTATGGTTTCTGTGCTGTATCCATGTGTCATTCACGAGGGCATCACGTGACACTGAAATCCAACCAAGTGAAATCACACCATCCATCGCATGAAGGATTGCGCTTTATGATTTCTATGCATAAATAAATGCATCATTTTACATATGCAATTTTAACCGATTGACATCAACACAACAAACAGAGATTAATAAATATTATTAGTTTTATGTTATGTGTTGGGTGATTTTTTTGAAAAAAAAAGTAAATTAATTTTCATATTACTATTTTTCAATAAATTTATAATCTATTAAAAAACATTATAAACAGAAACATTGTATCTGATTCAATGGATCTATCTAAAATTAATCGACGGATATAAAAAAAAAAAATGGGAGAAGAATATTCAGTGAATCTAAAAAAAAAAAAAGAGAGATGTCCTCTCATAAATATAAAAAATAATATCATCATAAAAATTAAAAATAGTTTTTTTTTTGTTGAGAATTTGCCATTATGATCAAATATTGTCATATGTTAGCGACGTAGATATAGCAATTAATTTGAACAGCCATATATAGATCCACATGGCCGCCCAAATTGACTCCCTTGACAACAAAGTGAGATTTCTTCATTGGAGTATACAAATTGCCTAATCAAACATAATAAAGAATATGCTTGTCATTTTTTGAGTACTTTAAAGCATTTTGCTCCACGTAAAATAATAAACGGTAGTGTGGTATTTTGTGGCATTATAAACCACTCTTTACATGTGGCATAAAATAACAAAAGCGACGGCAGCGCCTTCGTCTGGCGAGAGATCAGACCATCCGTCGGATGCCACGTGTCAAGTTCCATGTTCGCCCGGAATACCGTCCCGATTCAATGAACCGAGGCGGCCTGCTTCCCATGGTTTGCACTATTTATGCTTTGGCCTCCGACTCTTCCGTTCCCAAGAACGTGAAATCTCTTCTCTGTTTCGTAGGAATTTTGGCTAGTTTGGTTGTTCGATTTTGTTTCCGTAATGGCTTACGCCGCGGCTATCTCGAGCTCGATCACTTCCCGTTCCCTCCTTTCTGGGGACTTCAAAGGTATTAACTTGCTCCGTCTTCCGCTTTCTTAAGATTACGCCTTTCCCCATTTCTGAGCTAAAAAAATGTTTTTTTTCTCCTTTTAGCGGCCTTAATTGCGTCCATTAGGCATCCGGAGCCGTCGATTGCCACGTCGGCGGCGAGCGGTGGTCCCCGGCCGCGGCGGATGCTGGCGCGGCCGTGCTGTGCCGTCGAACCCACCAAGAGGAACGACTCGGTAGTCCCCTCTGCGGCGGTGGCGGAGGCGGCGAACGCTGCGGTAGGGGAGGAGGCTACGGCGCCATCAGCAGCGGTGGACTATGAGGAGCTAAATAAGGCGCTCGAGAACGCTTCGCCGTTGGAGATCATGGATAGGGCTCTGGATATGTTCGGAAACGAAATCGCAATTGCTTTCAGGTTAAAAAGAGCTTCCTTTTTCTCCCCTTTTTTGTTTCTCGTCTTAGTTTCTGGTTGCAACACGATAATTACTGTTGGTATCATTTACATGTAAGTGGAAGTATAATATAATTTTTTGTTTAGGAGCTCTTTGATATGTGCTTACCTTCTAAATGATTTAGTAGTCCAAAGATGCAATGTTTATCTAAAGCATTTTCTTTTATGTAATCAGGTTAAGAAATGATGTTTCTCCTAAATAAAGTTGTTACCCAGTGGAGAACTATTAATTTGATAGACCTAAATGGTTAAACTTTAGGTAATACTAGTATACTCAAACCTCCTCCCCCTTGCTCGTAGAAGTAGTTGAAACCTTATTAGATCTTGAGTTTAATGATTTTGAGAGATTATGGTAAGTGTTTCAACAAATTATTATCTTTCTTTGAAAAGGAGGTTAAGGTGGTGGCAGTCTACAATAGTTGAATCATAATGAGATCTTAAATTAGATAACTTGATAGATCATGGAAAATTTTTGAGTAAATCCTCATCAATTTTCTTTTTTTTAGAGGACACTCACTTTTTTTTTTTGAAGTGAGATCCAAGTTTTTAATTTGTTTATCAAGAACACTCACTTGTTGTTGCAAAGAGGTGAAATAAAAAGCCTTAATGGTTTCTTTCTTTATAGTTGTAAGCTTAGGGCAGGATACTTACTAACTTGAAGTTTTGTCTAACAGTGGAGCAGAGGATGTCGCTCTGATAGAGTATGCGAAGTTAACCGGCAGGCCATTTAGGGTCTTCAGCCTTGACACAGGGAGGTTGAATCCGGAGACATACAGGTTCTTTGATGCTGTAGAGAAACACTACGACATCCACATCGAGTACACGTTCCCAGATGCCGGGGAGGTGCAGGCCCTTGTTAGAAGCAAAGGCCTCTTCTCGTTCTATGAAGATGGGCACCAGGAGTGCTGCAGAGTGAGGAAGGTGAGGCCTTTGAGAAGGATGCTGAAGGGCCTCCGTGCTTGGGTCACTGGACAGAGGAAGGATCAGTCTCCTGGCACCAGAGCCAATATCCCTCTTGTGCAGGTATCTATCTGTTATTTCTACGATGTCAGGAATTAAAGTTCCATAAATGAGAGGTGCAATATATCTGATAGTTCCATATCCTAGGTTCAAGTATTGAACTTGTCGATTTGTCTCTGCAGGTAGATCCTGTTTTTGAGGGGGTCGACGGCCTTGGTAGCTTGATAAAGTGGAATCCAGTTGCAGATGTGGAGGGAAAGGACATATGGAATTTCCTTCGAACCATGAATGTTCCTGTGAACTCCTTGCACTCGCAGGTAAGCTCTCCCAGGATTCAAATTGCAAGAAGTTCTGCTGATGCTTTCTTATGGATACTCAAGTTCTTGCTACGTCTTGTTCTGGGTCCAGGGTTACGTCTCTATTGGTTGTGAGCCCTGCACCAGACCAGTCTTGCCCGGCCAACATGAGCGGGAAGGTAGATGGTGGTGGGAAGATGCGACGGCCAAGGAGTGTGGACTCCACAAGGGGAACCTTAAGCAGGATGAGGCAGGAAAATTGGGTGCGAATGGGAACGGGGTTGCGGCCGCCAATGGTGTTGATGGAACAGTAGACATTTTTGAGACCCAAGCCATTGTTAACCTTAGCAGGCCTGGGATAGAAAACTTGCTGAAACTCGAGAAGCGCCAGGAACCATGGCTGGTTGTCCTCTACGCTCCTTGGTGCCGATTCTGTCAGGTAAGAGACAATTTTGGACGCACTAAGGCTGTGATGATACATGTGAATCTGATGATTTTGCAAGAGACTGATGGACTTTTTATCATAATTCAGGGAATGGAAACATCCTACATGGAGTTGGCTGAGAAACTCGTTGGCTCCGGTATCAAGGTTGGGAAGTTCCGAGCCGATGGCGACCAGAAGCCATTTGCTCAGAAAGAGCTACAATTGGGAAGCTTCCCCACGATCCTGTTTTTCCCCAAAAACACATCTAGGCCGATCAAGTATCCATCCGAAAAGCGCGATGTCGATTCGCTTCTGGCATTTATCAATGCTCTTAGATGAAGTTGAGTTGCCGCTGGACATAAGTCTTCACTCTCATCTGGGTGCCGGCTTCAGATGATACAAAAGAAGGTGTCTGGCAGGATCCTGTACCATGCTTAGCTTCCCCTCTTCTCTCAGTTTGCTTTAGATGGGGGAGTAATATGTTGATAAGGGCCAACTACATAGTATCTGGAATCAAATTCGATGTTGTTGTCTGTAATCAGAACTTGTGGGTGATCGCCCACTCTAAAGTTCCTATTCAGTTTCGTAGTGTGGTTTGATATGTTCATAAGAATAAATTTTTTGAATCTTGTGGAAGATTTGGTTTGAGATGATTTGCCAATCATGGGTTGTATTAGTAAATTATGCTCATATATATAGATCTCAAGACTGATTTATGATAGAGTCCTGCACAAGACACTTGTTGAGATGTTAGATCTTTTCTTTCACCAACACAATTCTTAACTAGACTTCTCAGTGGTTTATAGATTAACAGGGTAAATCACTTCTTAGAAGACTGCCCTTTTCAGTATCCTCTATGTTCATAATAACCACAACCTCTCCTAAATTCTGACAGCCTCTCTCTTTTGTCCTTTCACAAGCAGTGACAAGCCTGGAAAATTTCTCTGTTTACAAGGATGAGAAAGAAATAATAGAAACGGCTGAAGTGGAAAGGGTTGTTCTTGTTCTGCAACCTTACTCATCCTCTTGAGATTCCCTTTTCTCTTCCCAATCATTATCTCCATTGATTGACCTCATTCTTCTGCACCATTAAAGTCTCTCTTCTCTCGCTCTGTCATAATGTTCCATCAAGTAATGCGCTGCAACATTTGAAGAGAAGATGGGCATGATCCTAATGGCCACAAGTTCCAGTTTCCAAGTCCACATGTTGTCCCTTTCTTTTTCTCCATCACCTTCAGTCAATAAGATTTCACTAAGCCCATGTTGTTTGCTAGCTCTTGTCCGGGAACCTTCCTCTGTAGTCTGTAGGACTATAAGTATTCAGCATTTGTCTACTCCTCTGAGATCTCAGCTGCAGAGGTTAGCCTCTCCACATCGAGATTGCTTGAGCTTTTGAATTATGAAGGTGGTGTTTAATCTCCATGAATGATTCACTTGGATTCCTCCTGGGGCTGCACCAAACCAAGTTTTCATGGTTCAGTGCTGAGGCTCCATAGATCATTGCCAACCTCTGCCATGCAATTGGTTCATAGACCAACACCACTATCTTGCATTGTTTTAGTAGTGATCACTATCTTGAACTAGTAGGCTATGAGGAGCACACAAATATCTTTAGCTCATACTTTAATCTTCTAGGATCTTAGATTTTATATACTGCATTCACTTCAACAGTCTGTTTTACATTTACAGCATATAAGTTCTTCAATGTTATATCATAGAAGTTTCATCTTTAGGGGATTAATAAGTACTGCTGCATTCTGAAGCATATGCTGTTAAGTAGTCAATTGGGTTCATGGGGCATCAATTCTTTCAAGGTAGAAACTAAAAGTTGAATACAGGTGCAAGCATATGCCTAACTTAGTGGTTGGGATCTCAATGTGACATAAACAAGCATTTTCTTGGAAGAAAGTAGGCAAATGGGGCTCTGTTTTTGACTCTTGGCCTCATGTTCTTTTGGTAGAATCCTTAGACAAGAAACTAAATCAAATAAATCACTATACAGATGCTTGGGGAAATATAATAATTGGCACCAAAATCATGTTGAATATGATTAATGAACATTTCATCTCTCAGAAAAGCTATCAGAAACTTCATCAGAGTTTCAAACCTGTCTCAAACTGCTCCCCTAAGAAAGTGGCATTCACCCACTTCTTATTTGACAATCTATTATACCTGTACCTGAGCAAAATTTTCAGAGCATGCAACAGCTAAAGTAGCAGTGAAACAAGTAATATTTCTGTAGGATGTGAGCCAACAGTTCCACCTAGCTTCCTTCCTCCATGTAAATTTATGGACCCATCCATGCCATAATGGATATTTAGCTAACTAGCCATGCTATGGTCCAAGAAACCATGATTCTAAACACTCATATTGCCCACTGCAATAACCAGTGATTCAAAGTCTTCATCATGATTCTATCCACTTCAAGGATGCCATCCATCCATGGCCTCTGCAGGAGATAAGTTGTGATGACTGTGGGATGAACAGCAGCCGTAACATACGCATCCATTGAACACAGAGTCAGAGACATGGATGCAACTTTATCTGCTGCTCTTGCTTGAAGGAAGATAAAGCAACAGCTTGTTCATCACTCCGTAGGTGATCCCGAGGAGTTGACTGCCTTGAGAAGTCTGACCATTGTTTTCCTTGTACAGCCATGAGCTTGGGTAGCTAGTGATTTTATTATGTCCTTATCACCGGAGGCGTAGCAAATCCAAAGACGTAATAGCCCATCAGATGCATTCGGAGGCTACTACTCTCCTCCCTCCCCCACCCTCCGGCCTTCCCTCCATTGGAGGCAATAAAGAAAAAGGGCGAGTTAGTGGGATTCACATGCAATGATTCAAAAGGCACGCAAACCAGTTGACCCGAGAACGCAGGGAATCCCACCGGTCCCTCTCTTGCGCGTGACGGTCGCCCCCCCCTTGAATCGAATCCGGTCCGGTTCTTCTTAGGACGCGGTTGATTTGCTTCCGGGAGAGTGATTTGGTATCCGGTTCATTTTTCTGGTTGATGGATCAGACCGGTTTCGGTTCGCTCATTAAATGCACACCCGCAATAGGATACGCACCAAGCGAGCACTGAGCGGCCCGAGGCAGGGAAGCAACGGCAGCAGGAGAGGAAGAAGAGGGGCGAGCATTAAAGAAAGGAGGACTGCATGCACTTGGAAGGCACTGCCCGGGTCAGCACCCACCCACATTTATTTGCGGGTCCCACCGGAAGACACCCACAAAGATCACTAGCTACCAGCCAAAACCCAAACCAAAAAAGAACCTCCTCCTCTTCCTGCTTTCTCTGCTCTCTGCTTCCTTCCTTTTCTTTAAGCTTTTGCTTGATGTTTCTGTGCAGGCCAACAGAGCCTCTTCTCTTCTCTGTTGAACGAGCCACATGGTGGTAGCATGAGAGAAACAATTCCCTTCTCCAGAAGAAGCTCTTGAAAGAAAAGCAAGAAAAAGAAAAGTTGGCATAAAGAAAAGGAGGCAGTGAGAGAGGAGAAATGGTGGCATAGAAGGTGGCCTTGTGTTGGGCCCAAAGGGAACCATTGCTTCACCCACAAGCCCCCCTTCTCCTCCCCCTCTCTCCTTTCCATGCCCCCCCCCCTCTTCCCCTCCTCCTCCTCCTCCTCCACCTCCTCCTCTTCCTCTTCCTTGGGATGTATGCACACTCACCTTCTTTCTTTGACCACCTCTTCCATGCATGAGTTCCCCCCATCGAGTATTTAAGCCTCACTCTCTGCTTCCTCCTCCTTTCTTCGTCTCCCTCTCGTCATGGCTTCGTCCTCTCCCACAACCTTCTTCTTGAAATGGGCACTACTGCTCTGCTCGCTCTGCCCGGCCCTCGCCGGCCCGTCCTCCTCCTGCCACCCCGCCGACCTGCAAGCCCTCGCGGAATTCGCCGGAAACCTCACTGCCGGCTCCATCCTGTCCAACTGGTCTCGCCCCGAGCTCTGCTGCAGCTGGGACGGCATCGTCTGCTCCGAGGCCAGCGGTCGATCGTCCGGCCCTGGCCGCCGCGTCGTGGAGCTCCTCCTTTCCGGTCGCGGACTGAGCGGAGTCCTCGCGAGCTCCATGGACCGGCTCGAGGTTCTCGATCTCAGCTTCAATGCGCTGTCGGGGTCGATCGCTGCCGTTGGCCGCATGACGGCGCTGCGGGCCGTGAACCTTTCCTCCAACAACTTCAGCGGGCCTCTTCCGGACCTCACATCGCTGCCTGCTCTCGCCGTCTTCAATGTCAGCAACAACTCGCTCGCGGGTCCGATCCATCCCGACATTTGTGCCGGCGCTGCAGCGATCGAGGTTCTTGATCTGTCGGTGAACTCGTTCTCAGGGCCACTCCCTGACGAAACGGTAGCTGAGTGCAGCGCGACGCTGCGGGAGCTGTACCTCGGCTACAACTCCCTCTCAGGTGACCTCCCCGACTCTCTCTTCGATTTCGTTGCATTGGAGAAGTTGTCGCTCGCCTCGAACGATCTCTCGGGACAACTCGGCGAGAGGTTGAGCAAGCTCTCTAGCCTTCGAACACTCATCGTTTCGGGTAACCGGTTCTCGGGCCCCCTCCCCAATGTGTTTGGAAACCTTACCAAGCTCCAGCAGTTGGTTGCACACTGCAATACCTTCAATGGAACCCTTCCTCGATCGTTGGAACTCTGTGCAATGCTTAGGGACCTTGATCTCCGGAACAATTCTATTTCAGGTTCCATTAATCTTGATTTCTCACGAATGAAGTTGCTCACATCACTTGATCTCGCCACAAACCATTTTTATGGCCATCTTCCTGTTAGCCTTTCGGATTGCCAAGCATTAAAGACCCTAAGCCTTGCTAAGAACGGTCTCTCTGGTCAGGTCCCCGAGGAATTTGGGAATCTTTCATCTCTTACTTTGCTCTCATTGTCTAATAATAGCTTCCAGAATGTATGGACAGCTTTGGAGATCCTCCAAAGGTGCAAGAACCTCACCACACTTATCCTCACCAAGAATTTCCTCGGAGAAGAGATTCCTGACATTCCTCTGAGGTTTGAGAACTTGGAGGTTCTCGCTATTGGAAACTGCGCCCTTACTGGCCAACTCCCGCTCTGGCTATTGGATTGCAAGAGGTTGCAAGTCTTGGATTTGTCATGGAACCACTTGACCGGTGGAATTCCTCCTTTGATCGGGCAGCTTGACAATCTAATTTACTTGGACATCTCAAACAATTCCCTGACTGGTGAAATCCCCAAGAATTTGACACAGCTGAAGAGTCTGATTAATATTAGCAGCTCAGCAACAAGGTCTTCGATTGGCTTGCCATTATATGTTAAGCGCAATCAGAGCATCAGCGGTTTGCAATACAATCAACTGTCAAATTTTCCTCCATCGTTGTACTTGAATGATAATGGCTTCAACGGGATGATTTGGCCGGAATTTGGGAACTTGAAAGCACTCCATGTCTTAGACATGAGCAATAACAGTATCACAGGGAGCATTCCAGACACTCTCTCCGAGATGTCAAATCTAGAGGTACTGGATTTGTCATACAATGAACTTAATGGATCTATTCCTGCATCCTTGAGCAAGCTCAATTTTTTATCAAAGTTTAGCGTAGCCCATAACAATTTGAAAGGAGAGATTCCAACCGGGGGCCAATTCTTCAGTTTTTCCAACTCTAGTTTTGA